TAAATTGTCTTCTCCGCGCGCAACGACGCGAAATTTCTCACGACGAAGAAATCCTCACGCCATCGTATTTATACTCACAAATTGCTCGCATTATTGTAAAAAAAAGAAATACATAGCTGCTGATTAAATTTCATATCGCATCTATGTTTAACTTGTCTTGTCAACGCGTATGATCTAAAACTGTCTATGAAAACACGTTTTGCGAAAAAGAGAGCGGATTTAGATATCAGATAGTTTCTGAAAAGAACTATCATCATCCGCGCACAAAGTATGTTTTAACGATCGCGCTGTGCGTTTTATGATCGTCTGGCACGATATGATTAAAATGCAAGAAAAAAAACAAAAAAAAGAAGACGAGAGAACGGGTAGATAACGATCGGCACATAGCGGCATGAAACATCGTTGTGCCTTTTGAGAACAAGGTATGAGAGCGTATTTGGTCTGCAAGATGGTGGAGGGAATTAACCGTCTCGTTCGTTTGCAAAAAATAAAAGTGCGCCGCGAATATCGCGAGATAAATTTTGCGAGAAAGACTGAGAGAGTCGCGCGCGCGCACAGGTTATCGCCTCTGCGTACGTTCATAGAGCGCATAGTTCCTCGAGGCCATGTATTGCGATCGGTCGGCCGAGATAGAATCTTTTATAACCTCCCTCGGTGCAAGAGAGAAAGAGAGAGAGAGAGAGAAACGTGTTTGCATCCGCGAGCGATTGCGACACGATATGTTAATGTCCCGTACCGTGTGTGCTTCCCACGTGTCACCGTGGCGCGCGTTTCCAGCCCCCGTCCTGGAAAACATTCCCCCGACTGATACACGTGACGTCTCCATCGAAGCTTTCATGAGAGTGTCGCCGGACGATGGATGGGGCCGACGTAAATAACGTATGGCTCAAAACGAGCGCGCTAACGTCAAATGTGTATCGCATTCTGATTTTTATTGTATCTTCCCTTCCCCTCCCTCACATGTGCCCCCAGAGAATCGATACATATATATATATGTACGTAATAAACCTGTTTGTGTTCTGTGTTCGAAACGACGCCGCGATATAGTGCGCGCCGCGGCTTAGAGGGTTGAACTCGTAACTTTTTTTTTTTTTTTTTTCTGTCCGGGGACAGCCTTTCCAAGAGTACACGAGCAATTCAGGAGCTTTATCGGCTCGCTATCGTTCCGTCCGTGGGGTAACCGCCATTAGCGCGGGCAATTTCCTGTACAGTACATCGCGCTCCGAAGTGGGGTTTGGGAAAATCGTTCTCGCCCGCGGAGCTACGGCAAGCGCGACGAACCGCGTCGCTGGGGTTATCGTTTAACGAGTGATGGAATACAAATTAGGTCCGCCGACAATGTCGTCGTCGTCGTCGTCGTCGTCGTCGTCGCGACCGAATAACGGGGACGTTCACGATGATATCTCGCGGCAAACAGGCTGGCACGTTAATGAGGACCGAGAGAGAGAGAGGGTAGAAAATCCCCTCGCCCCTCCGAAAGAATAGAGCGAAAAGAAGGAAGAAAAACAAACTGAGCAAATATCTCGTCGTCGCGCGCTGACAACCCCGGATGCGTCGATAGCATCTTGACATTAAGTAACCGGCTAGCGCGAGTAACTCCGACGTGTTGTATGTACTACAAGCAAGCAGGTCTACACACGTCAATACTGCGGGATGGTAAGATACTCGGCGTCCTGGTCGATCTATACGCGAGCACCCACTACGTACGTCATCGTGAAGATTGCGCCGGATAGGGAAATCATCGATTCTCTTATCTCTGCTATCTCTCGTGTTTCGAGAGGATCAGTTTTCCAACCTTCTCTTCTCTCATTTATTGTTTTATCAGATAAACAACAGTCAGATAAAACAATGTGTCGCGTTAAAAATTAACGTCGTCTCGTATGCTACGGAAGAAACTTGATTTACCGTGTTGTTTGGCGGCACATATTTCGGAGCACGTTGTTATACTATGTTATTATTATTTACGCAAAGTTGTAACGCAAGAGCTATTATAGTCGTCGCGAAAGCGATCGGCGTCATTAATGTATTCGACGCTCGTATCGTTTCCTCGGTTCTCGAAGCCCGCGAACGTGCTTTCGCGTTAATGACACATACAAAATACACACACACACACACGCACACACACGCACACGCGCGCGCAAAAGCGCGAACGTGCAATCGGCGAGAGATACGAGACGCGATGCAATATAATGAATACCGTTGGAGTTTTGAGAACATAATTAAAGAGCGTGTTTCGTTGATATCGAGAACAGAAGTGTCGTGTCCCGCGCGCAAGATATACATAATCTCTCTATGCGAGATAATCTAATAATATAATATAATCTCGTTAATCGATAAAATTATAAATGTCACCGGCAGCTTTATCGCACGAGCGTAATTTATGTCGACAGGCGCGATTTGCCTAAGCTCGGTGGGGTTTCTGCGCATCTAATGTATGTCAATTAAGTTCTTTTAGCGTTATCGATCGTTTATACATAATTATGTAAATTATAAACACGCATGCTCGCGCGCACGTCATTTCTACATTCGTTCTTGCGCGTTGTATCTGCTTTGTGTGTGTTTTTTTTTTTTTTTTTTTTTTCATACAAAAAAAAACTTATTTTTTGCGAAGTCGAATCGAACGAGAGGCACTCTTCGCGCGCGGAGTCTGTATCGAATCGCGCTTGCGTAAGATGCGCAGAAGCATTCTCATCACGGTGAAAGCGTCGATTTGCGGATTATCATGTTTCTCTGTCGCTGCGCGCGCGGAGGAGAGCCATCAATTTTTTCTCTCTCACGATCTCGCGTGCGTCAACGGCTGCACTTTCTATGTTGGCGCGGCCACGTGCGAAACTCCCGGAGTGTGGTTCTACGGTCTTTCACGACAGATCTCGCTTCGCGCTCGCGCGAAGATTAATATCTGGTCACGAAACTAACCGCTGTAGCCCGTGCGCGCGCGGCACACGCGCACGCTCAATTCGCGATTATTATTAAATCTTGGAGGATGACTTAACACTCACAGTCGGAGAGAAAAGGAGAGAAAGAGAACCGAAATATGTCACATACGAGGAATCGAGGCTTTCGAAAACGGACGTAGAAAGTCAATGATACGCGCGCGTATCGGGTTACGCGCTTTCCCTTGTAATCTTTCTCGTGCGCGAATTTGCAATTAAACGTTTTTCAGAAAAATTCGTAAACGCCAGCGGCACGCAAAATTTCCATTATCATTACCTCGGGAGCAGCCGGATAATGTCACTTCGCGATTCAAACGCATAAGCGAGGTGATTTTCCTAATTTTAGAATTTCTCTCGGCGCGTGTCTCGATATATACGCGAAGATTATAATCTCTAATCAATCTCTCTGGTCTCATCGCGCGTCACATTTATTGTTCAGAATTACATGTCGACAACTCTCTTTATTACTCCAATCCGGTCGCACCGTTTACGCACAGGCCGATTTATCGGCGCGCGATCGAAATTTACGATTGGGCCGTTCACCTTTACTTAAAGTACCCTCAGCGAACTTGTACGACTAAGCGGCGGAATTAAAAACGCGGAGCACGCGCGACCGAAAGAAACTCGCGCGCGACTCACCCTCGTCAACATTTTTCCGCGACAAATCTCGCGCGCGGCGAAGATTCCTATCTCGTCACGAAACGAGCACGTTGCACGCGCTCCATTTGCATCGTCGAATATTGCGACGTCGACGAGTCGTGGATGCGACGATTTGCGCGCTTCTTTAACTTGAGCACCGTTTCGAGAGCCATTCATTTCTCGTATCTGTCCCGTTCTCTCTCTCTTACTCTTTTTCTCGACGACGTCTTCTCTTTGTTTTTTCCTCCTCGTCCTGTCATTGCTCGCGACGTAACTCCGCGCTCCGTTTGATTGTTATTGATCAACCGTTTTGTTTTCTCGCCCGTGTGCACGTATGTATGTGCGTGCAAGCCCGAACTGGCACGCCACGCGGCACACTATAATGTTGGCACGACAGAGCGAATATAGAGACGGCGGACCTTAATGAATCTTTATGGGATGATGTCGTGAACTTGTATACCCTCCGGTGACTGACTGAACCCGGTCGCGCTAACCATTGGCGCGACTCGTTCGCCGCATTACCGAACTTCTCGCTCGCCAATCTTTCTCTTTCTCTCTCTCTCTCTCTTTCTTTTTCTTTCTTTCTGTCGACGGTCATTCTCGTTAGCGCGCGCTCTAACAGGCGGTAGAATAAATCGTAGAAAATAGCTACACAAGAAATGCCTGTATACTTTTTGCTACCGCGAGAGAATGTAATGACTTTCTTGCAGCCAAGTATTCGCGTAAATACAACAAAGTAGTCAAACGAGTAATTTTATACCGCGCGCTCGACTGAATAGGAAACAAAATATGAGCGGTCGATTAGAGAAATAGAAATAAAACTGTATATGTGAGAGAAAGAGAGAAAGAGAGGAAGAGACGCGATAATATTTCTGGTAACTACGCCAATGCGACGAAATGCTCATTAGCCTCGACGGTGGCGTTGCCGCGAGTTTGATGGTGTAGACGCTCGCGTTCGTAAAATTTGAAGGGCGTGTAGAAGGCCTGTGGGGTCCCGCCGCGTCTTGATTGTCATCAACTCGTTGCTCGTCGCGTGATATTGTCATTAGCCCGCCTAGCCATCGTCACCCGTCGCGCTAGTGTGCTTGGAACGCGCGTTTCCCGCGGAAGAGACCTACTTTTCAGGTGCCATCGATCCGAACCGATCGATCTGATTCTTTACGACTCGTCGTCGCGCACACGTTATTCTTTCCCTACTACTGACGTTTGCAAATACTTCATCATTAAGCTGAATTTTGTTCGAGGATAAACTAAGAGTATTGGTTTTTTTTTTTTTCAACTAAGTTATTGCCTTACTTTTTTTTAAAATAAACTATTGCGTTCACCGTTTAAACGTTAAAATACACGTGCGCGTAAAATTTTAGAAGCACACAATCGTGTGTCTCTTGATTTTTTTTTTTTTTTTTTCAATAATATGAGAAATCTTACCTGGATCCGTTGAGTCCAAGCTGGCTGGGGCTTGTTGGCTCAGTGGACCGGGGGTACCTCCACTTCCGGGACTACGGGCGTCGTCGTTAGCGCCCGCTCCTGGATACGAGAGCGACGATGAAGGTGGCCTCTGCAACACAAACGAGAAAGAGACATCCATAAATTTTAGCACCGCAATTTCAAATCTCTCCTCTATCGCGAAGGAATAATGTCGGAATTAATCGGCGTGTGTCACGAGATATAGGAGATGTCGCGACAGCCGTAGCAACATATTATTATTTTCGCTCTAGTCGTTTCTTTCGCGTGTGAATTAAAAGTTTTTCTGGCTTGTAAAGCGCGTGTCACGCCAACGTACGTCGGGAATTTTTTCGAGCGTCCACGTCGGGACATGCGCGTTTACATATGTATAAGGTGTCTCTCCCGAGTTTTATTTCAATCACAGACGACCGCATAAGCAATTAAACATCGTGAGCGATTAAAATATAGTCGAATGAAACGGAATTAAGATTAATGATCACTCGCACGCTGTTAATACAGCGAGCTCGGAAAAGCAAACGTTAATTTCTTGCAATCACGGTCTCCACACGGCGCGTGCGCGATCATCAAACGGACGTGATGCAACATTTAAGCAAATTGTACATCGAGCGTTTCAAAATAAAAATTGCATCGTGAAATAAAAACGTCTCGTTATCAGCAGTTACTTTCAACGGTCATTCATTCGCTTTTATTTATATATTTGTTTTTATTTCAAAAATTTATTTTAAATACAAAAACCTGTTTCTCATATATTATAAATTTCTCTCGAAAATACCCGGTGTACGTGTGCCATTGACGGCCGTGCGGGCAGATTTCGATCTCGATTAAAGACGGAGCACACGTATCTCTCGACGAAAATGCTGCTGGCATACTTAAATGATTCGGGGGAGCTCCGGCGGGACGCGCACGACTTACGAATCAACGGATTTACTGGGAGCGCGGAGAAACCTCGCGCGCGCGCGCGCGATGAATGTCCGCCGTAAATATTCGATCGTTTATTCCGCAGGTGTAGCCGTGTGATAATGACGCTCGCACGAGAATCTCTCCGCGCGCCGCTGCAGGGGAAAAAAAATGAGACAAGCTCTGAAGTTCACGTCGGGACACGCGCGGAATTACTTTCGCGCGCGAAATGCTTTTGCACTCGCAAGTTTGTTTCTGTTTTGCGAAGTCAACGCGGGCTGCGGATAATGCACCGGCGGAGTCAATAAGTTTGCGCAAAACGTGGTTGGTGTTGCAAAGAAATGAGAAAATTCTTTGGGTCGCCGCGTAGTCGGGGATTTTTCCGTAGGAATTCGCGCAGGAAAAACAACGCGCCTAATCGAAAGAGTTCAGCAAACTTTCCCCTTGACACGAATTGCTTGGCAGTATATACGAGTAACAAATCGTAGATCAATCTAAGGCAATTCGTTTCTCACTGGCGTGGTTCGAAGTGTCGCGGCTGCAGACCAGGACGGTGCGAAGAGAGTGTTCATTGAATGATTCTTTATAACGATCGTACCCGATGAACGGAGCGACTTATCTCGTCCGGAGTCTCATGAGATTTTGTTTCTCTCGAGCGCAGATTAGATTTTTCTGACCCGAGCGAGCGATATCGTCGCTCTCGAGAGACACATATCTCGAAAAATATCAGTCAGTTGACTTTTTCTGGTTTCTTACGCAACTCATTAAAAAACTAAAAACAAAAAAATCCACAAAAAATTCGAACGCGCTGGTTTATTGATCCCGCGCCGAGGTCGGAGGGTAAGAATTTGAAGCGGGCGGATCTCTCGATATCACGAAGCGAAATGTCTGGATATATATCACGTCTGGCCAGGCAACAATGAGTGACAGCTACTCCCACATGCTGTCATAGGCGTCATCTTCGCGATAATGTACCGGAGTCGCTCCCTCTCTCGATTGCCTGCTCTCGTATCTCGTCTGAAATCGTTACACGGTCAACTCCGGAGGATCTGCTGATACGCAGAGAGACGCGTCATGTGAATTTACTGCAGGAGTCGACGGATGTTGAGCAAAATTTACGCGAGCGATGATAAACAGGCAGCCATACATTTCGCAAATTGCAAATTTCTCAAATATATTATTTTTGTCGTGGAACTAAACAGAAATAGAAATAACTATATCCCTGTTCTCTCTCCAAAATTTTCTCTCTCTCTCTCTCTCTCTCTCTCTCTCTCTCAAAATTTATCAATATATCACAAGTAGATTTTCTTATCAAGAAAGCTCAGAAGCGGTAATGGCTTTAAGCTAGTAATTACTCACGATCCTTTGGAGAGAGAGAAAGAGCAACTATTTGCTCGAAGGAGGATTGCAGGATCTATAGATCGCGCGGCCAAGTAAATACGAGAGGTGGTAACAAGTAAGGGGGACATTAATAATGCATCGGTCGTCGCCAGTCTGCATGCTTCCTACACTGGCACCCAACGTAAAACGAGGGATCGCGTCGAACTATCTTCAATAATTAACAAACGATATTTCATTTCAATGATTGCGCTTTCCCGAAAGTAATTGACTATAATTACCTCGAATTTGCGCGAAAAGAAATTAACCGCGCGCGAAATTTTTCAAGCAATTGTTCGTTTACATATCGTGTGTTTATACGGTTCGGAAATAGTTTCTCTCTAAATTACACGCAATTAACAACGATTATTAAGCGATCTTAAGGATGAATACTATCGTCAAATCGTCATCATCCGCTCGGTAAACACCGATGAAAGCGGTCGGCGGTGGAAGGTTTTACACAACGCGCGTGTAGATGCGGCCCGATGTGTACCTCGAAAGCTGACGTCACTTCCTACTAAAGGCTGAATCGCCGTTTTTTAAGTGGCCAGTAGGGTCCACCGCGTGACTCGTGTCGATGCAATGATAAACGGTTAACGGGTCGACGAGCTACGCGCTCTCGTTCCACGTCGTTGCCTCTCTCGCTCGCACGTCCGTTCCCGTCTCTCCGTTTGTATCTGCCGGGTCCGTCTGTAACCACGGCCGCTCTTAAACCGTAATTCGACAAACCGGATGTCTGGCCTGTCCCTTAAATAAATCAGTTTGCCCGCATCTCATATTTCCACCCTCTCCCCTCTCGTTCGCACCCGTAGCTTTCCCTTCTCGTCATGAAAAAAATGTAATTTTTCTGAACCGCGGGACCACGTCCTTGAGAGGATGTAACAGTCATCGAAGGACCCCTCTCGAGCGATCCGCGCGAGATCTACGCGAGAGAGGGAAGTGAGATCTACCGAGTGTGAGCGCGACGACGTCGGGGCTCACACCGTCAGTGTTCGTCGGCGTCTCTGTTTTGTGTATCGCCGTGTATTCGTTGCGACGTTGCGAAATGTCTCGCGAAAACGCTCAATGCGATGTGTACGTATCTGTGTTGCGCGCGGGAAGAAATATTCGCTTTTTAATATCCGCCGTGTAAAGCAACAACCGACGTTTCAACCTCGCGAACGATAAATCACGATCGCTCAGCGGAGCGGTGCGCACGCAGGTGCGTCACACACACATTCGGTGATTTGGAGCATGAAAGTTCGACGTGGGATCGCGGCGCGAGATCGCGCGCGGAGAAACGCACGTTCGAATCGTCGCGTTGCGCGAGCGCGCGCGCGTATTAATTGGCCGTCGCGTAACATAATGCCATATAATTATGTAATTAGAGGCCGGGCATTAGTCTCGCTGACTGGTTTACGGGCGAGATACGTAAATCTCGGCAATTAATTTATCGGTGCTCGTGCGGGAGCGCTCGGGAGAAGAGGCTGAGGGAGAGAAGAAGACGTAAACGACGATGGCGGACGGGCGCGATAAAGACGGAGAAAACTGGCGAATCGAAGAGAGCCGGACTGACTGAGAGCGAACCGGACTGAGAGAGGGCGATAGATTATGGAGGCAAGACGGCACATTGTAAGCATGCCCCCATCGACTGGACCCAGATCGGGAGTCTCTCTGCTTGCCTTCTTGGCCGTTCCGGCGAGTGAGAGCGGATGGAAACCGGCAACGAGTTAGAGAGAAAGAGATAGAGAGAGAGAGAGAGAGAGAGAGAGAGAGAGAGAGAGAGAGAAAGAGTTCTAGTCTCTGTCCGTGTAGTCTTGAATTTCTCGGCGATACCGGCGGGCGTATAAGGATCATAAATTACGATTTATTGCAGTGGCAGCGCCTCCGCTCGTTGGATTATCTTACCGTTATGTCAGCACGCTACAATTATATTTACATTTCCCTCGTAATGGAATAACGTGCCAGCGTCGCAAAGTAAATGAGACGTGTCCGGGACGGATTTTCAAGGTAATCGGGCTACTCGGCAGGATATAATGCCTGACAAGCGTTTGCTTTTAAAAGTACCGTCGAAGACGAAATTGGAGAGATTATCTTTCCGCCACAAAGTTGACGGAAAAGTACAACTCAAAGTACTTTCGGCTCGTTTTTTTTTTTTTGTTTTTGTTTTTGTTCTTTTTTAAGAAATAGAGCGCGCGAAACACATTTCAAGAAAGCAGGAAAAAATTGTCGGCTCAGGATAGCTTCGATTCGGGAAACATGTTTTCTCTCACCGTCGATCATATTTGGACTTGGAGGAGACGTAAATTTTCTCGTAAACGAATTTATGGAGTAAAACGACACAAAAACGCGCCGTAGGTGGGACTTTAGAAGTCGCGCTAACGATAGCCACGAGATTCGAACGATTAAATGGCCACGAGTTTAGGCCTTAACAAGGTGTTCACCTGACCGGGGGAATGATTTTAAAACGGTCGTATAAACGAAAACAAATTTATGATCGCCAAGGTGAGGAGGAGACGAGGACGAAGAGAAAGAGAAAGAGAACGAGACGACGCGGCAGCCTGTTTTGGAGCCGCGACCGACGCGGTTCGTCTCCTTTCACGGGATGAACGTACGTGGTGGAGAACGACGCGTTAGGTACAACACGCGGAGGAGACGACCGGCCACTCATAAATATGGAATCCGGCTATTTGGCGCGTTGTCAATAAAACCAAGTCCAGATTCGTGCTGGATTTTACGACTCCTACTGCGTCCATTCGCTTTCGGCCGCATTGACGGACGCGTTATCGGAAACACACGCTAGCCACGAAAACGGGTTTCGATTTCAGAACGCGACGT